CCATGCAATGATGCATCAGTATACACTATATAACTTACACCTCTTTCTGGTATAATTAACACAGGAGCTGATGTTAATCGAGTTTTTAACTCTTGAAATGCTTCCTCACATTTATCATCTCAAATAAACTTAACTCCCTTTTGTGTCAACTTGGTCATTGGATTAGCTATCAGAGAAAAATCCTTGATAAATTTCCTATAATAGCCAGCCAAACCAAGAAAACTTCGAATCTCGTGAACATTTTTCGGCTGTCTCCAATTCAACATTGCTTCTACTTTTACAGAATCCACGGCAATGCCTTCTTTTGAAATAACATGTCCTAAAAATTTCACTTCTGTTAACCAAAATTCACACTTATTCTCTCAATGCCTGTAGAACAATTGACAAGAGTTGTTCATGCTCTTCTTGAGATGATAATAAATGAGAATATCATCAATGAATACAATCACAAATTGATCCAGATAAGGTCGAAAAACTTGATTCACTAAATCCATGAAAACTGCCGGAGTATTTGTCAACCCAAAAGGCATTACTAGGAATTCATAATGTCCATATCGCGTTCGAAATGCAGTTTTCGATACATCTTCTACTTTTACTCGTAATTGGTGATAACCAGAGCGAAGATCAATCTTTGAGAAGTATCGGGAACCTTGCAATTGATCAAACAGGTCATCAATCCTAGGTAAAGGGTACTTATTCTTTATGGTGACTCTATTCAGTTGACGGTAGTCAATACACATTCTCAGACTTTGATCACTTTTCTTCACAAAAAGTGCAGGAAAACCCCATGGTGACGTACTAGGACGAATGAAACCTTTTCTTTCAAGTTCTTGAAGTTGTATTTTGAGTTCTTTCAACTCTGCTGGTGCCATTCGATGTGGAGGTATAGAGATAGGTGATGTGCCAGGATAGATATCTATAGGAAACTCCACTTCACGTTCTGGGGGTAATCCAGATAAATCTTCTGGGAAAATATAACTGAAATTCTTTACTATGGGAATAAGCTCAAGTTTCGGATCACCCAAATCCTTATTGGCCATGTGAGCTATCAACCTCAAATAATTGCAATTTCTATTATCCAAGATTGATTCAGGCTTGCAACTATTCTTATTTCCATAAAAACTGAATGTTTCCCCTTCATTGACAGTCATAGTCACCATCTTTCTACCGCAATCAAGAATAGCTTTAAATTGGGTAAGTAAGTCCATTCCCAATATTACATCATACACCATGAATTCCAATATCATCAGGTCAACAACAAGTTTATGATATGATATCTCTATTGGGCAAGATTTACACAACTTATTAACTTCAACACATTTACCCAATGGAGATCCAATCATCAACGAGGATTTCATAAATTCATATTCTATTCCAAGAATAGATGCAAACGATACGGATATGAATGAATTTGTAGCACCGGGGTCAAACAATATTCTAGCCCATGAGTTAAAAACTAGAAATGTACCTTCCACCACCGTAGGTTCATTCGGCTCTGTCACTTGTCCAACAACATATACTCGTCCTTGAGTGAGTTGTTCTGACCTCCTTGTTGTTCCTGGTGCCCTAGGCCTTTGTTGTGTAGGTTGTCCCCTTGGACGTTGTGTCTGTTGATTAACAGGACCTCTAAACTGATTCAGTGAATCTTGATATGGGGCTTGGTACGGAGCACGGTACTGTGTTTGTGGAGCTTGAAATTGTTGTTGTGGTGCACGAAACTGTGATTGTGGTTGTGGTGCAACAGGTATCTGATATGATTGTAGCTGGGGACAATCCCTCCGGTAATGTCCTATCTGTCGACAATGATAACAAAATCCTGAGTTTTGAGTTGCCTCAAATGATCTTGGATTTTGATACTGAGAACGAGAGGGAAAAAAATCTTTGGCGTTTGTTATTTTGTCCCCTGTTAGGATTCTTAGTTTCAAAAACTCTTTTAGAACTAGGTATCCTTTGTTCGGCCATTAAGGCACGATCAACAACTTCAGTATACTTTTTCAATTTAAAAAGTTCCACTTTCTCCTTGACCTCTAGTCTCAATCCTTCTTCAAATTTCTTTGCTTTTGCAGATTCATCAGGAATTATGTAAGGAGCAAAACGCATGAGTTCTTCGAACTTAGCTTGATATTGTCCTACAGTCATACCACCTTGATACAGATTAGTGAACTCACGTACCTTCATGGTTTTCATAGTTTCAGGAAAATATTTCTCCAGAAACATTGTCTCAAAGGCAACCCAAGTTGCAACCTCAACATCAGGCATAGCCAAGACAGATTCCCACCAATGATAAGCTTGTCCTTCCAAATAGGTAGAAGCAATGGTCACTTTCAAGTTTCCAGGAACTCTTTGTTCATTCATCTTTCTCTTTATTTGTCTTAACCATTCTTCTGCTGCCATAGGGTTTGGATCACCCTTGAACACAGGTGGTCGTGTCTTACGAAATTCTCCTTGAATCCTCATTATTTGATCATCTTGAGTTTCCTGATGGGGTTCGTGGTTTTGTTGATTTGTCTCACGAATAGCAGATGCCATATCTTGAATGGCTAACATTATTCTCATACTATCACTCACATCATTCTCATTTTGTCCTTCTACTCCAGCCATCTTAATAATTAAACCTTGATACCAAATAATTCCATAAGATTAAATATATATATATAATATTAAAATAAGCATATTTGTCATATGCACAACGTAAGACACACAATGACAGATACCAATAAAAAGTGTTGATGCTAACGAAATTTAGTATGGATTTTTATAATCTAGTGAATCGAAGAGTCAAGTAAACTAAATAAAATGACTGAATGCTATACTTAAGAAAACTCCAAACTATACTGAAATGTACACAAGATTTTAATAGAATCTAACAAAACTAAAAACTGCCACTTGTCTTTGTAAGTTAAATGCAAACCTATATGATACAGTAAAAAGAATTGCTAGTGTGTAAGCTGATGAATTGCACATAACTGAGTTAAATCACTCAATATATCAAGATCAAAAATACTGGCATGACACAAAAATAATTGTTTGAAGTAATACATATTATGAAAAATGAAATTGACAATTAATTAATTCATAGCAACTTTTTATGCAATTAATCATGTCAATAGAAATCAGAAAGGAAAACATACCTATATATATAACATTGATAAATTATATGAAAAAAAAGAAATATTACAGAAAATCAAACATGCTTATTATACATTTATAAGTTGTTACAAACCTATTTTAACAAAATAGTCACAAACCTATATTACAAGGAACTTTCTATTTAAAAACCGTCATAAGGCTGCTTACCAAAAACTATACATACCAAAATCAACTTTTAGACTTACACTATCTTATTAGTCAAACTTCTGAGAGAATCTATTCATCATCAGAACTAATATCTATAACTTCAACAGGAGGGATAATGGGCTCGGGATATTCATTTTCATCATCAGAACTTATATTGATGATAGTTGGACTAGGATTTTGTTGTTCAATGATAACTACTGAAGCAGATGACGCAACAGATTCAGCAGATAAAGCATCAAGGTCCAGAAGTTCCAAATAGGCTTCATCTCCTGGGTCTGGCACAAGGGGTAAGTTTAAGTCCTGTGGTTCTGGAACATATGGTAGGTCTAATCCTGGTGGTGGCCACATATCAGCAGCTATAATTGCAGCATCTTCTAACACCTGGTTGTAAGAATGTGCTTCAATATTTAACTGATATTGACTCGTTATGTTATTGGTCTGCAATCGATGTCTAACCACAAGTCTTTGCATTTCTGGTGTATAAAACATCCTTCTATACCCTGTCTCTACAGCTTCATTAACGACGTCCACATAGGCTTGGTTACGTAGGCGACTATGGTATACTTCTTCGTCTATTGGGATAAGGCCTTCGGGTCCCATTTGGAACCCTCCCCATGTATCATTACTCTGATCGGGTTGCATCCTAAACAATAATTTAACAGGTCAGTGAATAACAAAACAATTTAATGAAACCGTAAAACTATGCTCTGATACCAACTTGTCACACCCCAACCCTCGGATTTACAAAACCTTGGGTTACGACGTGATTCACACCTTAATTATAGAATTTAATAAAAACTATAACTAAAATGTGAAGAAGACATTTAAATAAATAAAATAGATATTTCACATAAAATATTCAGCAGAAACGCGGAAACGATAACGTTTGAAACCATAAGAATTTTACATTATTTTACAAGTTAGAACTACTCGAGAGTTCACTTAAAGAGTAGCTCATTATTCAACCACAAGCTATGTTACATTCTATAGACATGCCAAAAATCATCACAAGCTCTAGATTCTAAATTTCAGGTTCGGTACCTGCAAAATCTATTAGGGGGTGAGCGAAACCACAGCTCAGTAGGGACATAAACCTTTTCACAATAAATTGATATAATTAAATTAAGTGACGAATAATCAAGAAGCCAAATTTCACATTATTAGTAACAATGCATGAATGCTCTTCATCTAATCCCGTTAATTCATATAACTGGACAAGCAGACCTGCACGTCCCATACCATGCTTATACCACTTGGTCCCGAATGCCCATTTATATGAACTAACACCCATTTTAATCATCCATAATTCCCCCTTTTGTTAGTCATCTTGTCTAACTCCCTTTCGCCAGTCCCGAATCACCCAATAAAACTCATGTGCACTGTGGGATCCCTGAGACCTGGTACCTGCCAAGAGTTAGACTCAACTACACAAAAGACCATTCCCATTACCC